ATTTTTTCTGGATATACACAACACCCTACTCTCGGACGTGAAAACTTTTGAACACCCCCCTGCCACCTAGAATCTCCATTTTTAGCAGGAAACACCAGAATTTTGCGGTGCGTAGATGTGTGCAGCCATTCGTTTTTTCCAATCCTGCTGGGGCGACCGTATGCATGTCAAAGCAAGTGGGGAAAACGAGCTCGTGGCCATCGCGACGCGGGTATTTATGTAGGAGACGAATCTGCCCGAACGAAAACAAAAACACCGAGAACATTGAAATCCGAAAGTTTCGTATTGTACTCGACTTTCGCGTGTCCCGCCAAATCAAACGTGTGCCAATTGGTTGTTCTGGCAGCATCCTCTCTAACACTGCACGCGCAGTGCCAATGAGGCATGCAGATGGGCAATATCGTCCGGTATGCAATGAGATGACCAAAAGTGGGTATCTGACTCAAATAAAGGTGGTGAAATATGCACACTTGAATTCTTAGAAAAAAAAATGCATATGCATATTCCATTGCTCTTAGGTGTTTTTTTTGTTTTTTGTTTTTTTTTTGCCTTTAATTCCACGCAGCCCAAAATTTCGCTGCATTTTTATTAACACAATAGGGTGTTTTATATGGGGGATTACGGTACTAGAATTACTAGAAGCTGTTGTGATACGATTCATACTTAGCATTTCTGTAAGTCGCTTATCGATAGATAGTGTCGAATCCTACTGTAGAAGATAAGACCGTAGGATGACGTCAGCAAATAACGCTCGTCATGAGGACAGTCTTTTCAGTCACGCGAATAGTCTCGTCTCTTCAATGTTATTTAGGGCGCATAACGCGATAGTGTCAACAGGTACATTAGCGAACAGGTACTTCTGTTAGATATAAATAGTAGCTTGTCTTCATTGTTTATTTAACGTGGTTCTGAACTTGATTCTGAACTTGTTCTTAATTTGTTCTTCAGTAAGTTCTAAGACTTACGCTGTCTTACTAGTCTACCATTCTAGTAAAGATCCTAGGCTAACACTTGAGGTTTTCCAAGTGTTCGTATTTGCAGATTCTATACTTAGTCTCCTGCAACACCTGTCAAATTATTACATGGTATGAGAGCTGTCTGGTATTAAGACTTCTGTCAACAATGACTGGAACAACACCAGCACAATCTACCGGATCTAGTTTCGGAACTACTGGAGTACCTGTCTCCTCGACTGCCACTGGTCTCTCAGCCTCTGGACCGTTTCCACTGGCTTATGCGCACATCGGCATGCATCAGCAGCAGCAAAATCCTTCTTCTGTTAGTACTCCAGGGATTTCATCGACTGCCCCTGCAGCGCAACAATAGCAAACACAAGCAACAGCACAACAACAGGCAACAAGACAGCAGTTTTCAACTCAATCAATAACATCAGCGTTTAGTGGAATGAGCCTTAACGGCTCAAGTTACATGCGTAGAGATCCAGCTCCAAGTAGTAGCTCATTTGCATTCTCACCTTTTACGCAGCAGCCGCAGTCTCAGCAGCAGCATCCCTCTTACATCTTCGGGCGTTCACCTGCTCAGCAACAACAACAGCAGCAGCAACAGCAACATCAGCAGCAATAACAGCAACAGCAGCAACATCCACAGCAATTTCAACAACAGCAACAACCTCAACAACAGGGTATTGCTTTTCAGCTGCCGAATTTACTTAACAGCACACAGATCAAGACCACTATACATTTTAACGGAGTTGATTTTTACTCCTGGAGCTTCGAGTTTGAACTTCAGGCGCAGTCTGCCGGGCTATGGCCATTCTTCACCGGCGAGTACAAATATCCTGTTCCGAGAACACAACTGGCGCAGCAGAGTTTCTTGCACGCCTCTCTCGGGGCGTATACAATTCTTGTTCGAAACTTATCGGCAAAGGAGCAGCTCGGCGTTCGATCCTTTCATTCTAGCTTTACGCCAGCTGAAACTGCATGGAACCTCTTAAAGGGAGTGTATAATGCAAAGGATACAATCACAGTGAGTAAGATTCTTTCGCAGCTGACAAATGTGCAGATGATGACCAACGAGAATGTCATGGATTTTGTCAATCGTGTCCGCACACTACGAGATCAATTGGAGAAGAGTGGTGGATACTTCCCTCGTGAGATGTATCTCACGGTCCTTCTTGCTGGACTTGGTCCCGAGTGGCGACAGACGCGCGCATTTTTGTGCATGAACCCGAATCTCTCCAAAGCCAAGATTTCCTCGTATCTTCAAGCAGAACAGCAAGATCCTGATCTGCAGTCACAACGCAATCAGAAAAAGGGGATACACTTAAGTTTTTACTCAAATCCAGAGCCGCAGCACCGACTTCCCCCTAATTATCCCTTCTGCCATTTCTGTAAGAAACCAGGACATACTTACCAAACTTGTCGCAGTCGACATCAAAACCGTCGCAGTACTTCACAACCATATCATCGATCGCAGCAGTTACCGAAGTCACATCCGCCAACGCAGCAGTCAATGTCACAGACGCAGCAGATGCAGAAACCACCGCAGAATACACCTTTATCACAGCATCGTCCTTTGGTTTTTCCATCTGCAACATCAGGAAAAGGAGTTTTTGGATGAGTTACGATAGTTGATGTTTCAGATATTGATTTCGAGACACAACTTGAAGAGACCACGAGTGCAGAGGGCATTCCCTTACCACAAGTTTACGCTAACCTTGCTCGCGTCATTTCAGGATCCAATACTTGGTATCTCGACAGCTGTTGTGGTTGGCACATGTGCTCCGCTGAAACAAGCTTCATCACCAATCAGCATCCATTTCGTCGTTCGATACCTATAACAGTTGCAAATAGACAAACTATCATGGCCAGATCAATCGGGAGTGTAATGCTCGAGTCCGTCGACACTGGATATTCCTAACATGTTACCAACGTTCTTATCGTCGCTGGCCTTGGTTTCAATCTTCTCTCCACAGCTCAGCTCCTGGCACACAAGATTCGCACACAAGGCAATTGTGATACAATGGACCAAGAATTATGGCACAGTTTGACAAACACTTACCTCGGTCACGCTGCTACTCAACATGGTGTATCCGTTCTTCAGTTCACGACACAGGGCACCTCGGGCGATTCTGAACGCGTCCTCGCTCTCGGTCCCTGGGATCAGGACGAAACGCTGTTTCGTCGGGATGATCCCTTCAGACTTATCAACAACAGTTAGGCTTTCTTCTCTTCGCCGCTGTTACTTGTCGTCCAGATCTAGCCTATGCGGCTAGTCAACTTGCTCAATACCTACGCCGTTCTGAAGGGGAGCATCAACTTGATCTCCTACGCGCGCTTTAGTATTTCATATCGACTCCTGACGTTGGTTTAGTCTACAACGTCAGCGGCTGTAAAACGTTATATCTACACGGTTTCTTCAACGCCGATCACGCTGCCGATACTACTAATCGACGCTCGCGTACTGGATTTATCTACTGTCTTGAACCTATCGGGCCTTTTTCTTGGAATTTGACGAAACAGAAGATGATTGCTCTCTCCTCTAGTGAAGCTGAATTTATCGCTGTCTGCACAGCAACACGCGAAGGACTTTACCTGCAGGAACTCTTGGAAGAAGCGAAGTTGATGGTGAGTACTCAGATTACTCTGCAGTGCGATAACCAGAGTGCAATTCGCATCGCACACCAGCCCAGGTTCGTCAACAGGACGAAACACATTTAACTGCGTTACTTTTTCGTCAAAGATGGAGTTGAGAAGAGGAGGACGCGATTGGTCTACTGTTCGACCAACGAAATGGCTGCCGATTTCCTCACGAAGAAGCTGACACGACAGAAGTTTCAGTACTGTAATAAGCTTTGCGGGATCTTTAAGAAGTGACACTATCAGACTTCCAAAAATGAAGGGGAGTGTTGTGATATGATTCATACTTAGCATTTCTGTAGGTCGTTTATTGATAGATAGTGTTGAATCCTACTGTAGAAGATAAGTCCGTAGGATGACGTTAGCGAATAGCGCTCGCCATGAGGACAGTCGTTTCAGTCACGCGAACAGTCGCGTCTCTTCATTGTCATTTAGGGCGCATAGTGCGATAATGTCAACAGGTACATTAGCGAACAGGTACTTCTTTTAGACATAAAAAGTAGCATGCCTTCATTGTTTAGTTAACGTGGTTCTGAACTTGTTCTTAATTTGTTATTCAGTAAATTGTGGTCATTACTCTACAAGTTCTAAGACTTACGCAGTCTTACTAGTCTACCATTCCAGTAAAGATCCTAGGCCAACACTTGAGGTTTTCCAAGTGTTCGTGTTTGCAGATTCTATACTTAGTCTCCTGCAACACCTGTCAAATTAATACAGAAACAAGTGAGAACAAACAAGATATAGGGTTGGGTTTGTACTCTCTAAGAACATACACCTATTCTAGCCAATAACTTCTACATGCAGAATGTACAATATGTGTAAGTTGACACTCTCGGTATTCGGCTAAGTCCTCCGACTGCCAGTCACACCCCTCGCATACCCCACACAACCTGGATAATTCTGGCTAAGTCCTTCGCAACTGGTCACATCCTGCCTCATACCCCCCGCAACTTGTAAAATTTCGGCTAAGTCCCCTGTAACCAGTCACAACACACTTATACCCAACGCAACCCAGGCACATTCCTCCTTCCCACACCCAACCCAACCTAGCCCAGCTGTGATCAATGCTGTTTGACTGGCCCTTACCGTCAATCACGCTAGTTTTCGCGTGTGTACCTTGGCACTGGGTTGATACGTAAACATCGCAGCTGTCACAACACAACAAAGGCGATTGGTATAGCACATGCGCCAGCCAATCACTGGCGTGTTTTTTTTTACTACTTCGCTTACAGGTAGGTAGGCAATATTGGCTGTTGTTTTTTCCCGCGTGAAATGCCTACCAGCGCGAGTTGCAGTGCTGACTGAGGACGCGTTTTGTACCTGAGGCGAGCCCCGAGGGAAGAATTCAGGGCATCAAATATAGGTACGGGCGAGATTGTTAAATTATATATTGAATTATATAATTGTTAGGCTTGGTAGGTTACCGAAATTTGCTGTAGAGGGTACAATCCCCTCCTTGAATGCCTCTCCTTTTATTCCAACTCTCTTTTTCTCTCCTCAACTTTTCTCCTTCCTAAACCTCACGCCACTTCATGGCTCCTCCTAGCTAAACCTCATGCCTTTCCTAGCTTCCTAGCTAAGCTAACCTTCTAACAGAGATCCCCTAATAGGGGATCATAGTCTGGCACATATGACCATTTGAAAAGCTGCTAGATGGTTGGTGGGTTTTGTTTTCAAATCCCAATGCCTTGACGAGCCGAATCTACAATGCACTGAGGCTCTCTTCAATCTCCTCGACCTCTGGGTCCACCTCAACCAACTCCTCATCCTCCTCTCCCTCGTACACAAACGACAACACTCCCCCCTCCTCACCCTCCTCCGCATGACTGTCACTGTCATCCAACCCCTCTCCCTTTGCCCCCTCTCCCTCTCCCTCCACATCCCCTTCCTCATCCACCTCTCCCTGGTTCCCATCGGTCCCAATTCCCCCCATGATATCTTGGAGGATGGGGATGCCAGAAGAAGATGGGGAAGGAGGAGAGCTGGAGGGGGCAGAAAGGGCGGAGGGAGCGGTGGAGGCGGCGGGGAACTGGTGGCAGTTGATGAAGTGGATGGGCTGGCGCACTGTGCGGAAGAGACTGGGGGACAGGGAGAACATGGGAGGGGTGGAACGGGAGCGGATAAGGAGATGCAGAGATGAAGCAGCAGTAAGGCGGGAACGGAGAGCAGCACAATGGATGAGCAGCACAACGGATGAGCAGCACAACGGATGAGCAGCACAACGGATGAGCAGCACAACGGATGAGCAGCACAACGGATGAGCAGCACAACGGATGAGCAGCACAACGGATGAGCAGCACAACGGATGAGCAGCACAACGGATGAGCAGCACAATGGATGAGCAGCACAACGGATGAGCAGCACAACGGATGAGCAGGAGAAAGGAGCGCAGCGGAAAGGTGGGCAACACGTGGGCGGGCGGTGGAAAGGAGAGAGGAAAGGACGGGGCAGCACGGCTGGTCGACAAGGAGGAAGAGTGAGGGGCGAGGGGCGGTGGGTGCAGAGGCGGTGGGTGCAGAGGCGGTGGGTGCAGGCAGAAAGCGCAGAGCACGGGGCTCTGGACGCTCAACGCACAGAGCTCTGGGCTCTGGTCGGTTCAAGGCGTGAAGGGCAGGACGTACGGGTGGGCGCAGAGGAGGTTGGTGTGCAGCGCGAGGTCGTACTCGCACGTGGGGCCCTCCTTGATGCCGCCCATAAACGTCTGCCCGCCCTCCTCACACACGTGCCGCACCTGATGGCCTCCGCGCACGCGGAGGGGCGGGACGGGCGTTTGGAAGCGGGTGACTTCACGCACACTCCGAAACGCCGGCCTCCTCTCACACGTGCGGCACGAGGAGGAATTGGGGCGGCAGTGACCACATGAACGGGGGGAGGCGGAGGGCGGCAGGAGCGTGACAGCATGCAGCGCAGCAAGGACGTGATATGGGCAGCAGCAAGGTGGCGTGCTACACGATTTGAACGGGCACTACATTGGCAAGTTGACAGCCCGCTTGGCTCCCCAGTGCATCCACGGACTAACCTCTCAACCCACCCATCACACCACCATCACAATACCTTTCCTCTCCCCTGACCTTCCCATCCATGCACACACCTCCCCACCCATGCACGCACCTCCCCACCCATGCACGCACCTCCCCACCCATGCACGCACCTCCCCACCCATGCACGCACCTCCCCACCCATGCACGCACCTTCCCACCTAGGCATGAGCAACCGAGTCGAGTTTTGACTCGACTCGGTGACTCGACTCGCCCTAAAGGGCGAGTCAAGTTTCCTTTTTGACTCATCTGACTCGGCCAAAGTCGAGTCGGGTCGAGTCGACCGAGTTTCGAGTTTTGCTCAACTCGGTCTGGGAATTTGCACCGAGTCACACCCGAGTCGAGTCATAATTTGAGTCGACCGAGTCGAAATTCACTCGAGAGGTTTCGCTAAGTCATTTGTCCGGGAAATTTTGAGCTACGCCCAGAAACGCGTCTGGCGTTTTAAACGCCAGCGTTTAACTCAACAATCGATTTGTGGCCTGGCAAACGCTCGATAACCGCTCGGGCAGGCAGGCAAAAATGTTCAGGGCAAAACGAAAATCTAAGGTTCAAGACTTAGCGAGTGGTAGGTTGAGAGGCGATATGGCGGCCGCTCTAGTTGCACGCTAAAATAGGTTAGCGGAATTGACAGGAGAGAGGGATGGCGAGGAATTAGGGTAGAGCATGCTAGAGAGGGGGGGGGGGTTGGAAGTCGTAGTTGCAGACGGGTTCAGTGCGGTTGAAGTGGGGGAATTTGGTTGGAAATCGATGTTAGCAAGAACATTAGAGGGGGGGGAATGGATTTCGTAGCCGCAGAGGGTTTCAGTGTGGTTGAAGTGGGGGAACTTGGTTGGCAAAAATGTCACGACTTGGCGACATTTCACCTTCCAACCCCATTCCCACACCTCAAAACCGCAATCAACCTTATTTCAACTAGGAAACCCAACCTTCCCCCACTCTCTCCTCTACCTAAGAGAGGGAACACACGCTATCCCTCTTACGACATTCCCGAGCCATAATTTCACGCTGTGCAACTCTAGAGCAGCAACTACGGCACCTCCTACACTCACCTCACGCCAGGCCTGTACCTTTTTTGCCCTGCCCAGCCGAGCGTATATCGAGGAAATTCCCTATTAACTAAACCGAGTCGAGTCAAACTCGACTCGGGCCGAGTCAGGGCCTGACTCGGGCGAGTCAGGCCCGACTCGCCTCCCAAAACTCGAGACTCGAGTCAGAGTCCTGGGGGGTCCGACTCGGTCCGACTCGGGTCCGACTCGACCAGGAATTGGCTCGACTCGGATCCGACTCGGACGAGTCGAGGCTCGACTCGCCTCCTGCTCATGCCTATTCGCACCCATGCACGCACCTCCCCACCCATGCACGCACCTCCCCACCCATGCACGCACCTCCCCACCCATGCACGCACCTCTCCACTCATGCACGCACCTCTGTTCTCCGACCAGCCCCCGTGAGGTCGCACGACGTGCCGTTGGTGTACACGTGCACGTGGTACCTGCACAGGGACATGCACAAGGACATGCACAAGGACATGCACAAGGACATGCACAAGGACATGCACAAGGACATGCACAAGGACATGCACAAGGACATGCACAAGGACATGCACAAGGACATGCACAAGGACATGCACAAGGACATGCACAAGGACATGCACAAGGACATGCACAAGGACATGCACAAGGACATGCACAAGGACATGCACAAGGACATGCACATGGACATGCACAAGGACATGCACAAGGACATGCACAAGGACATGCACAAGGACATGCACAAGGACATGCACAAGGACATCCACACGGACATGCACAAGGACATGCACACGGACATGCACACATGGATGGCGGGAGGGGCGGGAGTGAGCTGCTATGGTGCACACATGCACGCGGTGCGTACGATAGACGGATGAAGACAGTGAGAAGAACGGAGATGCTGTGCTGAACAGCTACTGCACACATGGCACTTATCATGATACTCACCTCAGCACAGTCAAAAGCACACACATACGCGATGGCATCTACATCAGGGCTTCTGTTTGAAGGATAATTCCCCAGGGGAAAAAAAGAGAGTTTGGGTGAAACCAAATCCGGGATTTGAAAGGGAACAGTTCCCATCCCAGAAAACCCGTAATTTATACAACTGGGCTAGTTGGCGGTTTCGGACGAATCGGAAGCCGCAGGGGGCCAACCCGGACGTCCCTGCCACGAAGAGCTGCCCCTGTTCCTACCCTATCCGGGTTGCCCCCCCCATCCCCTCCCAACCCCCTGTTCACACGGACCAATCGTACTCTATCCTTCCTCCGCCTCGCTGTGTGCCTCGCTGTGTGCCTCGCTGTGTGCCTCGCTGTGTGCCTCGCTGTGTGCCTCGCTGTGTGCCTCGCTGTGTGCCTCGCTGTGTGCCTCGCTGTGTGCCTCGCTGTGTGCCTCGCTGTGTTCCTTGCTGTGTGCCTCACTGTGTGCCTCGCTGTGTGCCTCGCTGTGTGCCTCGCTGTGTGCCTCGCTGTGTGCCTCGCTGTGTGCCTCGCTGTGTGCCTCGCTGGCACCTTGCCCAGCATCAAGGAGCGTCGCCCTTGCCTTGATGCCACCAACTCCTCTAGTACCCGGCTTCTCTAGTACCCGGCTCCTCTAGTACCCGGCTCCTCTATCGCATGCCTAGGGAACAGTATGTCGGCTTAAGTGTAGTCTAGGTTATCTCACCTCTACTTAATTATCTATGCTTAGCAATCCGAGACAACCTTTGCTGTAACTCTGCCGAAGTAACTTTTGAACCAAATTGAGGTGAAACAGTGATGGACAACCCCGCAACTTGGACGAAACAGAGTGCCGAGGTGGGCCGATTTCAGGAGAAACTGAGTCCCTAAAAGCCTTCGCATGGGCCCTGACCCACATAACATGATTGCACTGCGCAGGCGAGCATGGGTGAGGGGCAGCATGGCGGTGCTACTGCACAAGCGCATGTGGCTAGATTGGACTCATGCAAGCAACCACCTAGGTGTGCAGACAGGTATGGACCATACTGGCGCTCGTGCATGGACCACCCGAGCTGGAAAGCCTTGCCCGGCTGCAGCATTTGCTGTGTGCACTGCATGCGCGCATGAAGAAAACCTCTCCGCGATTTGTTCACACGTGTCGGGCGCCACCCCCACAGTGCACCCCCTTGGCCCACGGCCAGCGCACCTCTTCCCTCCATTCAGACTCTGAGCAAGAGCCATCTGGTAGCAGCTCAAGTAGCCAAACTAACCTCGACATCTACACAAATGCAATCCAACCACCCACATTACGGCTCAATAGCCTTTAGCCAATGCGACAGTTCAGTAACTTCACAGTGTCAGCATCAGCCTTCGGGAACTTCTTCGACAGCTTGGGCGTTTCGCCTTGGAAACCGAGCCCACACAAGTAACCACTGAAGGTTACGCGCACACTTCCATGCAATAAAAATCCTCCCTACATTAAAACCGCGAGTAATGAGACGACTTCTGAAGCGCCTCAAAGTGCCCCTAGCTTGAGATGACGTGTCACTGGAGTGAACAGTGTCTTCAAAACTAGGGGTCCGCGTTCAGGGGGAGAGGTGTGTGTGGCGGGTGGCTTGTGTGCGTGGCGGGTGGCTTGTGTGCGTGGCGGGTGGCTTGTGTGCGTGGCGGGTGGCTTGTGTGCGTGGCGGGTAGCTTGTGTGTGTGGCGGGTAGCTTGTGTGTGTGGTGGGAGAGGGTGTTCCGGAAGATGGGTAGAACAAAGTCAGGTAGCCCCGCCAAGCCGCTGGAAGAAGGTAGCTGCAGAGGTCGAGCGGAGAAGGTATCCGCAGAGATCGAGCGGAGAAGGTATCCGCAGAGGTCGAGCGGAGAAGGTATCTCCTCAGTTGTGCTCCAATGAAGCCAATCTTGCAGTGTCGAGGGTGAAATGACGAAGACGGGAAGTAGAGGTATCAATTCATTGGTTTCTGAAATGCTTTCAGATCCAGGACACCCGGTTCAGCGAACCTTGGCCCTTGTGTCGAGGAAATCAGCTAAACTGTCCGGGATCTGTCACGAAAGCTTGATGTTGGGGTCAAGGTCGTTCAAGGTGTTGTTATATTGCTCCAACTTGCGTCTCGGTCCTGGCCAGATGATCAGACCATCGTCGATGGAGCGTATGTGGCAGAGAGTGGCTTTGTCCTGGACCACTTGTTGGTGAGGAGGTCAGCCAGACGACTCATGAAAAGGACAGCAAAGCAAAGTGCAGCAGGAGTTCCCATGGCAGTGCCTTGTGCCTGGTGGTACAGCAGGCCGTGGCACTCCACATAGGAGTTCACCATGACCCACTCCAGCACGGCCATCACTGGTTGAAAGCGCAGGTGCCTCCCTCGTTGAAGAATGTCACTCACTGCATCGAGCCCGCGCCTCAGCGGTAAACTGGGGTAAAGCGACGAGGCATCGTAGGTGGCGGGAAGAATTCCATTTGGAAAGGCGGTTTCTTCTAGCATCAAGAGTAGCGAGAGGGAGTCACAGAGGTAGGCTTGTTGTCGTAGAACCCATGGCCAAAGTTCTGCATCGAGCCATCGGCTGGCATTCGAAGTAACCCAAGGATGCGAGGCGGCGATTGGACGCCCAGCGAGCTGCTTCTTGTGTAGCTTAGGCAGGATGTAGAAAGCCGCAAGCTTCCAACCTCCAGGTGGTTCGTCGAAAGGGTACTTCCACAGACTATCGGGAAAAGCAGGGCCCCAAAAGTGACACAGTAAATAGTCCCCGAACGACGGCGGCAGTAGGATTGCGCTGAACCGGGCTGTAAGTAGTCGTGTCGCCAAGATGGTCCATACACAGCTGCTTGTACTGTCCCCCGTGACCCGTCCGTGACGGTAATCCCCATGTTCTTGTCGGCAGGGTGGATGACCACACGTCGATCCGCGGCGATGAAGCGCAAGGCCCGTCGTATACCTAACGAGATGTTTCGGCGTCGTGCGGGCATAGATGCCTTCAACAGAAGGGGGAGATCCGAAGGCGAATCCTTGAAGACCTGCTCCGGAAGCACATTACGATCAGATCAGGTAACCAGCTGGGATGCCGCACCCGAAAGCCAGAACCATTCTGTCAGTTAACTGCTTTCTTTAAGAAGAAATGAAGCAAAATCTGCCGGTAAAGCTGATGAAGCTGAGACCCAGACCTGGCGTTTCCTCCTCATCCGAAGACACGTTCTTGGCGCTCAGGTCATGCGCTCCGCCGCTGCGAGCCCTTGGCGCTGCCTGCCAGAACGTCATCCGTGCAGCCAACAGAGTGCCTGCTCATGGCTGCCTGCTCATGGCTGCCAGCTCATGGCTGCCAGCTCATGGCTGCCAGCTCATGGCTGCCAGCTCATGGCTGCCTGCTCATGGCTGCCAGCTCATGGCTGCCTGCTCATGGCTGCCAGCTCATGGCTGCCTGCTCATGGCTGCCAGCTCATGGCTGCCTGCTCATGGCTGCCAGCTCATGGCTGCCTGCTCATGGCTGCCAGCTCATGGCTGCCTGCTCATGGCTGCCAGCTCATGGCTGCCTGCTCATGGCTGCCAGCTCATGGCTGCCGGCTCATGGCTGCCTGCTCATGGCTGCCTGCTCATGGCTGCCAGCTCATGGCTGCCAGCTCATGGCTGCCTGCTCATGGCTGCCAGCTCATGGCTGCCGGCTCATGGCTGCCAGCTCATGGCTGCCTGCTCATGGCTGCCGGCTCATGGCTGCCGGCTCATGGCTGCCTGCTCATGGCTGCCTGCTCATGGCTGCCAGCTCATGGCTGCCTGCTCATGGCTGCCAGCTCATGGCTGCCGGCTCATGGCTGCCAGCTCATGGCTGCCTGCTCATGGCTGCCGGCTCATGGCTGCCGGCTCATGGCTGCCAGCTCATGGCTGCCAGCTCATGGCTGCCAGCTCATGGCTGCCGGCTCATGGCTGCCGGCTCATGGCTGCCGGCTCATGGCTGGTTAGTTCTTGTGTGGCCCTATAGCGCAGCCGCCTCCGGAGTTGTTTTGTCCCTTGGTTGTCGCCGATGAAGTCTGGCCTTTCGCCAGCTGGTTTTGGTCGGTGCCGGGATTCTGCTTCTTCTTATAACCTCCGCGCTTCTTTGTCGGCTTGGAGTCAGCGGCAGCAGCCTGCGTGTTACCGTGCATCCATCACGCGCTCACCTCTTCCCTGCGCCAGCAGCAGCGCCCCCACCAGCAGCAGTGGCGGCCTCCAGCCTCTTCTGCGCGCGCAGTGACTCCCGCGCGCTGTAGCGCCCCAACACAAAGTCCATGGTCACCTGGGGCAGTGGGGTGGGCAGCGGGTGTGAGCAACGCGACGAGGGCACCACACGCCAGGAGTTTGAAGGTTTTTGTGGTGGAGGCATGAGTGACTAGCGGGCGTTGGTGTGCCTTCCCCACACAGATTCCACCGTCATCACCTGGCGCAAGTTGATGTGTGGGCCACAGGTGCGACAGGTGCAAGGAACGGCACAGTTGTTCAAAACCTAGTGTACACCCCATGGTCACATGGTCACATGGTCACATGGTCACATGGTCACATGGTCACATGGCCGTCAGCAGAGGCAGTCAGGTGGCAGTCAGCAGTGGCCGTCAGAAGTGGGTGCAGAGTGTGCTTTGAGTCGACTCACAAGTGTTCCCTTCCACTCCAATTGGATTCGCTGCATCTCAGCACACTCAGCACACTCAGCACACTCACACACTCACACACACACACCCTAAACCCCCAACACGCACACCCCCACATCACCTCCTCCCCACCCATGCCCACCCACCGCCTCACTTTGTTCTCCCCATCCTGCTGCTCGATGTGCATCTGGCGGATGTGCTTCTTGTAGCAGAACTCGTACGTCCACCACCCGTCTTGCTGCCACGATGAGGTGGGGGAGGGAAGGCAGTGCACAGGGAAGGAGGGAGTGAGGAGGTAGGGGGTGGACGGGAGATAGATGTGCTTCTTGTACCACAACTCGTACGTCCACTGGCCATCTTGCTGCGTGAAGGGGATGGAGGAGGATGGCTGCGAGGAGGGGCCAGGAGGGAGGAAGGGAGAGAGCAATTGAGACCAAGGAGAGAGGGAAGAGCATAGTAGAAACGCAGTACTGATTCCGCACCCAACCCAGAAACTGCACACGACGTCAACATAAGAACCAGTCAGCATGGGAAGGTGATGAAGCGTCATTACGAGCGCAGGGCGCAGGGCGCAGGGCGCACCCGGTAGAAGCACGGCAGCCCCTTCATGGCGTCCAGCAGGTCCTCGGGGCTCTTGCGGCTCTCCCCATACGCCACTCCCGCCGCCCCGCCCTTCGCGTCCACCCCGTCCGCCCCTCCCCCCCCACCAGCAGCGGACGAGTGCGGCGATGCAAGGTTGGGCGGCGGGAGGATGCAGCGGTAGCGCTTGCCATCACTGGCCGCCATCACCACCGACTCGAGCCCCGGCTCCTGAGGCAGCACAGGGAAAAAGGAGAGGGGGCAGGGAGAGAGGGGGGAGAATGGGAGGAAGAGGGGACGGATAATGGGAGGATGAGGGGAAGGATAATGGGAGGATGAGGGGAAGGATAATGGGAGGAAGAGGGGAAGGATAATGGGAGGAAGAGGGGAAGGATAATGGGAGGAAGAGGGGAAGGATAATGGGAGGAAGAGGGGAAGGATAATGGGAGGAAGAGGGGAAGGATAATGGGAGGAAGAGGGGAAGGATAATGGGAGGATGAGGGGAAGGATAATGGGAGGAAGAGGGGACGGATAATGGGAGGATGAGGGGAGGATGAGGAAAGGGGGACGGGAGGATTAGAGGAGGTAGAAAGGAGATGCATGCAGCATGCACCGGTGGAGCTTGCTGTCACGGGCAGTCATCTCAACAGGCTGGAGGCGTGGCGCCTGATGGGTTAGCGGAGAAAGGAATGGGGAGGGCAGCGAAAGAAGAGAGGGTGGGAGGGGGGGGCAGCAAGGGGAGCGCTAGCCATGACTGGGCGCCATCACAGCAGGCGCTTAGATTGGGTGGCGGTGGCGGTGTGCGTACACAGGAGTCTGTGCATCCAGCAGCAGCAGCAGCAGCAGCAGCAGCAGCAGCAGCAGCAGCAATGGAAACTACAGTCCACCAGGCACAGAGCAAACTCAGATCCAGGCTTGCAAGGCAGAGAGGTTGAGCTGCAGGAAGAAGCAACGACGGGTGAAGGGGAAGATGTGCGCGCGAAAAGGGGTCCGGTCTGGTGGCGTTCCACTGCAATCACATGCGAAAACAACTCGGCGCATCCCACGACATGCGACGTCCATGGCCCTTCACATGCCCCCTTCCATCCCCACTACATCCCCACTACATCCCCACTACATCCCCACTACATCCCCACTACATCCCCACTACATCCCCACTACATCCCCACTACATCCCCACTACATCCCCACTCAACCCTCGCTCACATCAACAGGCAGCGCGGCAGGCGAGGAGGGCGAGGAGGGCGCGGTGGAGGGCGCGGTGGAGGGCGTGGTGGAGGGGGGCGGCCAGAAGACGACGGAGAGCTTGGGCTCCTTGCTCTCCGCTGGGAAGGCCATCTGACCTGGGCCGCCGGGGAGCCCGGCAGAGAGGGTAGAGGAGTGGGAGGGAGAGGGATATGAGGGAGAGGGATATGAGGGAGAGGGATATGAGGGAGAGGGATATGAGGGAGAGGGATATGAGGGAGAGGGATATGAGGGAGAGGGATATGAGGGAGAGGGATATGAGGGAGAGGGATATGATGGAGAGGGATGGAGGCGAGAGGGAAAACGGAGAGTTTCAGTCATCTTCTCTCCACGGGGCAAACCAACTGAGCTGGGCTGATACGCAGAGACGGACGGCGCAGTGGCGGAGGGCGGAGTGACGCGGAGTGACGCGGGGAAAGAGAGGAAGGGCATGGCAATCCGTGTGCGTGCTCGGGACAAGGAAGGGCACTCCTTCTGGAGAGCGCGAGCACGAGGTGATGAGACGGCTGACGAAAGGAGCATCGGAATGGCAGGGAGGCGAAGTGGAAGGGGCGGCGGGAGAGACGGAGAAATTGCTACGAGATGATGGGGTCTCAATCCGCGAGGCACGGCGGCAAGGAGGAGTACCGACGCGCGAACCGAAGATGAGGTCCGCCAGGACGCCGCGGGTTGGTAACATGGCCATGGCGATCACCATGGTAACCACCACCGCGAAAACGTTGCATTCCGCCATCTGCACCACAACCGGGCGTCTGACAGCCTCAAATAACGACGCGACCAGTCGCAAAAGTGGCGCACTTCTCAACCAAAACACTGAGCTGATTATTGGGTTTGCACGAGTAGACTAAGCTAGCAGGCTTTGAAATGCGCGCGCACCCGAGGGGACAATTCCATGACACGAGTACCCCAGTGACCCAAGGTGGGGGGGTGACTGGAAGGAAATTGAAGTTAGCAGGAAGGCTGGGATGGGAGGGATCTCAAACTGCGCAGTTCAAGTGTCCCCATTTGATTGATTTCTCCTGCACATGAATGGTCAACGAGCTTCGTGCTTTTCTCGAAATGACGTGCTAAGTGACAAAGCAGCTGTGCGAAGAACGTCTAAGGTAACTCGAACACAATTGCTTACAGTTGCGACAAGCGTGAGGAAGGCTGATTCTCCTCAGGGACTGGGGGGGATGCGGCGGGGAATTCCAAAGGGCGGAACCAAGGTGCGCAGATATTCGCTTTCAGTGAACTGTCTCGTTGCAAGGACCCTAAAGGGGAAAATGAAACATACATGTAAGGAAATGGATTTTCCTTAAAGCGAGAGGCTAGAATAGTGACCCCCTTTTCAAGTTGGACCCAACTCGAAATAGTTCCGCTCAAGAGTGTGTTGATTGTAAACTTGAGACAATTTTTGGTTAGGGGGCCAGTTTGTATTCGTGCGATAGTTGGCGACAAAATTACGAATGAAAATTTTGCATGATTGTCGCAATTCACAAGCCATTTTGCTACCATGCGAAAGACGAGCTGAGGACCTTGATTTTGAGAGCCTAAGGCATGCATTTCACCCTCAAATATCACTTCAAAAGAACCAGCAAAATAAAATGCCGCGAGTGAAATACAGAGTGCAAAATACCAAAACCACGACACAGAGAGAGACTCGCGGCGAAATGTGTGGAGAGCGGGAGAAATACGGTAAGGAAGCGGTGTTCAGAGCGGGAGCGCGAGAAGGAAAGCCCTGGCGAAATCGAAGGAGAGGGGCGGAGATAGAGGGGAAGAGGCGCGGAGAGAGGTGTGGAAGAGGTGCGGAGAGAGAGAGAGAGAGAGAGAGAGAGAGAGAGAGAGAGAGAGAGAGAGAGAGAGAGAGAGAGAGAGAGAGAGAGAGAGAGAGAGAGAGAGAGAGAGAGAGAGGAAGGGGCGCACAAACGAAGGGAGAGGTGAGGAGAGAGGGAAAGAAGGTGAGTGCACGTCGAAAGGAGCAAGACTGTCGCCATGCGCCACCCTTTTTTCGCAGCGCAACTCTCATCCGCTCTCCGCCTCGCTCTCTTTCTCGTCGCGCCGCACTACACGCTCCCGCGGCGCTACACACTCTATCCAGCCGCGCCTCTCTCTCTCTCCTGCCGTGCTACTCTGTCTCTCTCCCATCTTGCTACTCTCTTTCTCTCCCATCGCGCTACTCTCTCTCTCTCTCTCTCTCTCTCTCTCTCTCTCTCTCTCTCTCTCTCTCTCTCTCTCTCTCTCTCTCTCTCTCTCTCTCTCTCTCTCTCTCTCTCTCTCTCTCTCCCATCGCGCTACTCTCTCTCTCTCTCTCTCGCCCGCCGCGCTACTCTCTCTCTCTCTCCCATCTCGTTACTCTCTCTCTCTCCCCCATCGCACTACTCTCTCTCTCGCCCGCTGCGCTACTCTCTCTCTCTCCCATCGCGCTACTCTCTCTCTTTCCTGCCACGTCACTCTCTCTCTCTCCCATCTCGCTGTGCTGCTCTCTCCCCCATCGCGCTGCTCTCTCTCTCCCGCCGCGTAACTTTCTCTCTTTCCCTCTCGCCGCGCTACTCTGTCCCTATCTCGTTGCGTCACATTTTCCTCACTGTTCCTAGGCACTAGGGCGGAAAAAACAAGGGGTCAACTAGCGGGACTAGGTAGCTAGGTGTCTGTTAGTAGCTTACAACTAGCCAGGAAATGAATTTTCGCGTAGGAAATGGAGAAGTGCTCTTTGCAGCAATTATGAACCCATGCCCAACTTGAAAACGGAGTTGGGCCCAACTTGACCCGAAAGCCTCAACCTGTCCCATGCACTTGCCATGCCAGAATCGCACAGGGAAACGCTAACCCTGACAAGCATTTCGTGTCAGAAATACAACTTTGGCACGTCGCGAAATTCGTCTCGCAACGATCATGTTGGCGGGATCCAATCAGCTTTGAGATCAAAATTCATTTTTCCAACCCGCGTCACTTTGGAACAGTAATTTGTCAGCCGAGGTTTCCAAGAGAAGTCACTTGGGGAAGTCCTCTTTCAAGTTGGGCCAGCCTTCACTATTTTACCTTCTCGCTTTAAAGCTAGGATCTTAAGAAGCTCTAAACCAAATCCAAAAGGTTTGGAATCAGGTTGGCGAAATGAGCGAAACAGTAACACCGGCCCCCCAACACCCCTCACTACACCTCACAATTTTCACGACCCCCCGAAACAAAAACCTTTGGGTTTGGTTTTCTGCTTCTTGAGATCCTCGCTTTAACCCATGATTTAGGTTGTAAAGCGTACACCACTGCCATAACGGGGCTGCCGTGCATCTCTACTACGTAAATCAGATTGCGTCACCCACAATTTGGCTCTCTGTATGCATACCATATGCTTCGTAGTTTCGTGCCTGACATGGGTGCTCAGCGCCAATCTGCAACCACACCACGGCTGCGTTTTGCAGGCAAAAAAGGAAAGTGCAGATTACATCAGAGCACCTTCCAAAAACGCGAAATTTTGCTTCGGATCGAGGGTCAGCCCGCAAAATTTCCCCCAAACCTGACACAATGTACCCGAACCTAGTTACATCGTCATGCCTGCAGAACAGGTCCATCTACAGATGACATCTACGTCAGGGGAACACCCCACCTCACTTCCCTCCCTGGCAAATCTGACGCAACCTTGATGCAATGCTGACGTTTGCAAAATCGCGGAATCCACCTTGCGTGTGGCGTTACATCAGTCGCAAGGGTGTACAAGGCCTCCACACCCCAAACATACTGTTGTGATAAAGTCATACTTAAGCATTTCTGTAAGTGGTTCCGATAGATATTGTCGAGTTACACTGTAGATTGCATCCGTAGAATGACGTCAGCAAATAGCACTCGTCTGGATGATTACATCAGCAAGCCGTTTCAGTCATGCGAACAGTCACGCTCTTTTCAGTAGTGGTTAGAGCGCATAACGCAAATAGCTCGAACAGGTACGTCACCGAATAGGTACTACCAGCAGATATAAAAGTAGCTTGTACAGCTTCAATTATCAATTTGTTATTAAGTAAATTCTAGTCAACACTTTACAAGTTCTAAGACTTGCGCTGTCTTACTAATCTAACATTCCAGCAAAGATCCTTGGTTAAGTCTTGAAGTATCGCAAGGCTGTAACACTGACTCTGGTGTTACAACTTGTTAATACTGGCTGTTACTGGTGGTACTTCCTGTATTACTTTCTACTTCAAGTACTTGTGTCTGCAGATTCTATACTTAGTCTCGTGCACCACCTTTCAAATTCTTTCATGGTATGAGAGCTGTCTGGAATTAAGACTTTTTTCAATTCAACTGTCGACAATCATGACTGGACCATCACCATCAACAACGTCTGCTTCTTCAACAACTGGACCTACGGGTGTTACAAATCCTATAGTTATTACTGGACAAGCAGGTACTTCTGCAGGTGGAAACTTTCCACTTGCCTATTCTTCAATTGGGATGCTGCAACAGCAGTAGGTTTTTCCTACTGTGCATCCACTGGGGACTCCGTCCTCTGCACCTGCAACACAACAACAACAATCAACAGCATCAATCTCAGCAACTTTTAGTGGAATGAGTATTGACGGCTCCAGCTATGCAAGAGCTGCAGCCGCTCTGAGCTCCAGTTCTTCATTTTCGTTTACACCTGCTCAACATCAACAATTGCATTTTCTTCAACAACAGCATCAAGCACAACAACAGTTTCAGCAACAACAGCAACAACAGCAGCAACAGCAATCTCAACAGCAGTTTTCGCAGCAGCAGACTACTCTCATTGGTCCTGTTTTTCAGGCCCCGAATCTTTTAAGCAACACACAAATCAAGACAACTGTACCTTTTAATGGCGCGACTTCTACGCCTGGAGCTTCGAATTCGAATTTCTCACGAAATCCGTGGGGCTGTGGCCGTTCTTCAGTGGCGATTACTCGTATCCTGTTACGAGAACACAGATGGAACAACAGAGTTTTCTTCATGCATCACTCAGCGCTTACACCGTCCTTATCCACAATCTGACGCTGAAAGAGCAGCTCGGTATACGCTCGCTTCACACCAGTCCGACTCCAGCTGAATCTGCATGGACACATTTGAAGGGGTTGTATATGGCACGGGACACAATTTTCGTGAGTAAATTTCTCACAACTGACAACTATACAGATGCAGGGCAACGAGAATGTTTCGGATTACGTTAACAGGGCTCGAACACTTCGTGACCAATTGGAAAAGTGCGACGGATACTTTCCAAAGGACATGTTTATAACAGTCCTTTTTGCCGGTCTTGGAGCAGAATGGCGGCAGTGTCGATTCCTACTTCGTCTTCAACCAAATCTTTCCGAAGCAGAAATCTGCTCCATCCTTCAAGCAGAACAGCAAGATCTTGACCTGCAATCAGCATGCAACAAGAAAGGAGCAGTCAACATCAGTTTTTATACAACTCATACAAAACGCTTCAACAAATACTTCTGCCACTACTGCAAAAGGGATGGGCACAGTACAAAGTTTGGCAACAAGCTTCAAACTGATAGGAAAAGAGGGGGACAGCAGCAGTCGCAGCAATCAAGGCAACCCGTGAAGCAGAATCCACCGACAACAACTCCTGCAACATCAGGGAAACAAGTCTTTAGCTGCGTTACATCAGTTGATGCAACGGATTCTGATTTCGATGATGACGATGACAACGAGCAACCAGAGAACATGGTTTTACCTGAAGTATATGCTAACCTTGCTCGGGTTATTGCAGGACCGAACACTTGGTATCTTGACTGTTGCTGTGGACAACACATGTGCTTAGCCGAGACGCTCTTCATTACTCATCAGCGTCCGCTTCGTCATTCAGTACCTGTCACAGTCGCAAATGGACAAACGATAATGGCAAAGTCAATTGGAAGCGTCATGCTGGATTCATTCGATACAGGATTTTCATTACACGTTACCAACGTTATGATCATTGAGGGACTTGGCTTTAATCTTCTTTCAGCGGCTCAACTCCTGCGACATAAAATACGGACACAAGGAAACTGTGAGACAATGGATCAAGAACTTTATCATAATGACTCAAATACTTACATCGGGAGAGCCGCCACTCAGTATGGGGTCTCTGTTCTTCAATTCGAGTCGCAAGGGACTACTGGATCTTCTTAGAGAGTGTTATTTCTTGGACCTTGGCAACATCCAGAAGAAACTGACTTCCAAAATGTTGGCATTGAATTCTGACCAACTGCAGTTCCAACAGGTTCTCGTACAGCAGCAGCGGTCATCACAGTTCTTGATTCCTGGCCAACAAACACAGCCGAGAAAGATACGTCAGCATGGAGAAATGATAATGATACTCTACAACAACTTGAAAACAAACCTACCTGACCTTGGGGACCCATCAGTAGCAGTGAAGCAGAGGAAGCGGAGTAGCAGAGTAGCCGTGAAGCAGAAACAGGGACTCTCGTCGGTCAACCTGCAGCAGAAACACAGGAAACATAAATTGAGGAAGGGGAATTAATTCTTCAACCGGAAGAAATACTTCAAGTAGAAGTTACTACGACCAAGTTACCGTTAAATTGCTTCGTTCCTGGAGAACTCGATGAATCACCAGCGATATCTCCTTTCATCGTTTCTTCTTTTTAAACTAACGCCAACAGGACACAAAGCAACGGAAGATATATGGCATCAACGGTTAGGACATCCTTCACCGGGGATTCTTAATCATACAATCCAAACTTCAGTTCTTGACAAGAATAGTCTACTTTTACCTGATGGAATGGAGATGAAGCCGTCTTCGCGACCCGCAGTCTGCACAACATGCGCAACCGCAAATCTCCCGCACGAACCTTTTCCAAGTCACTTTCCAGGTTCGACTCGCTACAAATTTATGTAGAAAGCTTACAGCGATATTCTAAACTTGCCAGAAGTTGGACCAAAGGAGGAACTTTATATGATCTCATTTATCGAAGCTTCTACTCGATACGTCTGGAGTGTCAACATACCAGCCCGACACATAGCTAACGCTATCTTCGTGGCGTGGCTCGCAGTGGCTGAAAGAGAATCAGAGAAGAAGCTGCAAGAATTTCAGAGTGACGGCGCAGGGGGAGTATACGAGCACAATTTTCACCGATTACCTGCAAACCCTCGGCATCAAACGCATATTGTCCCTGCCACATCAACACCAACAGATGGGGGTAGCAGAAAGGATGAACAGGACTCTGCAAGAGAAGATGCGAGTCCTGCTGACTCAGGCAGCATTGCCACCCCATTTTTTGCCTTACGCTTTGGACCACACCGTCCTTCTGCACAACATACAGGCCTGCACATCCCCTCATTCTCCAAGAACTTAGTTGGTATCGGTTGTCTTCAAGACCTTGACCGTCAGTACCGAGGCCACCTCAGGTTCTCCCCTTGCGACGTTCCCACGGGACCCGGTATGAGGCCTCTTTACGCTGGACATGGTTTCCCCCCTCGGGTGGATCATCCCCCTCGAGTCGTGCAACTACCCAGGTCACCACTGCGTGCTCGTGTCGGTCGCTCACTCACCCGTCGCTTCTGTGGCACCACCGCCTAGGTCACCCCACACTCCCGCGTTTGCGTCACATGTCCTAGCACGATCTCGTCCTAGGTCGCCCGACGTCGCTTCCTGCCCTCCCTCCCTCGCCTGCGCCGCCGTGCACGCCCTGTGTTGAGGGCTGGCTGCACCATGCTCCTCACTCCTCGCTTCGTCCCGCCACTGCAACCCTCCAGACACTGCACCTTGGGGCCCAGCCCCCGTCCCTGGACCGTGTCGCGAGCGCTACTTTCTAGTGCTCGTTGACGACTACACACGCTGCACCACGGTGTTTCCCTTAGAGCGGAAGGCCGACGTGCCTGACGTTCTTATCCCCTGGGTCGTAGCTGCATGCCTCCATCGCGGTCTTCCTGTGCTGTATCTCCACTCCGACCGTGGCGGCGAGTTTGCCTTTGGTCGGCTTGGAGAATTCTGTCGTACGGAGGGCATCACCCAGTCGTACACCCTACCGGAGTTCCTGCAGCAGAATGGGGTTGCTGAGCGACGCATCAGTTTGGTCCTGGAGGTGGCTCGTACATCCATGATTCATGCCGGTGCACCCTATTTTCTGTGGACGTTCACCGTTTGCTATGCCACTCACTAGCTTAACCTCTGGCCTCGCTCTCAACGGCCGCAGGTTTCACCGACCCTTCTTTGGACCGGTTTCCCTGATGATGCATCCGCGTTCCACGTCTGGGGCTGCCTCGCTCATGTTCGTTCCTCTAGCACGGACAAGCTCACTGCCCGCACTGTCCCCTGTCTCTTCCTCGGTTTCCCCCTGGACTCATGTGCTTGGCACTTTTACCACCCGCTGTCTCACCGCTTCATTCACTCCCGTGACGCCACTTTCGACGAGTCAGTGTCATTTCACGACCGCTTTCCTCACCGAGGTCTCCCAGTTTCCCCTCCCCTATTTCTGCTCCCCGCTCCCGCGATAGTCCCTGCTCACCTTTCTCCCCGTCCTGCTCCGTCTGGTGTGTCTCACGTTACTCCCCTCTTGTCGGTTGTCCCCGTCAAGGAGTAGGCTCACTCTGATGTCCCTACGGCGCAGTTCTCGCGGCCTGTCTCTCCCCCGGTGTCTCCTCCTCCACCGTCGCAGTCGCCGCCGCCGCAGCAGCTGTCGCCACCACCGCAGCCGCTGCCGCCGCCGTAGCAGCCGCCACCGTCGCAGCAGCAGTAGCAGTTCTGGCGGGTGCTGGCGTTGAGGAGGGTGCTAGTCCTGGGGTTCCTATCGTGGCTTGTACCGGTGGGCTCAGAGGTGGCACTGGTGCTGGAGAGGGTTCTCGCTCTGGGGGTGCTCGTTCTGGGGGTGCTGGAGTGGAGTGTTACGGAGGTAATCGTGGTGCAGCTGGCGGTCCAGGTGTCAGTGTCAAGCAGCAGCAACAGCAGTCGCCGCTGGTGTCCGCCCTTTGCCGGCTCGGCCTTCCCTCCCTTGACCGCTCGCCTGCGCTTCCCTCGCCGCCTCCTCCCCTTCCTGTCCTAGGTCCTATGTTTCCTCCGCCAGACTCGTCTCCGGCCCTTCTCCCACCTCGTTCCCCTCCTGTTACTCCTCCTATGTCTCCTGACCCGACGCATCCGTCTCACGTCTGGTCTTGTCGTCCCTCTCGTGCTCGTCCTGTCTTTCCTATTCCGCGTTCTCACCCTCTATTGCTTTGTTCCCATGCGTCTCGTCCTCCCCTCCCGCATTCCCCGACTTCGTCCTTGCTTGGTGTCGCACCTCCCCCTCTGTCTGACTCACTTCCTGCTGCTCGTCCTCTTGTTCCTCGGGTCGTTGCCTCCCTCGTTACCAGTCTGTCTGTTCCTGTCTTCAAGTCTTGATGCTCTTATCGCTGCTGTCGCTGACTTTGCCTCTACCCGCCGCCTTGACTTTGCTACCGCTCTGGTCTCTGACCCTGTCCGTCTTCCGTCCGTCAGGGGTGCTTCTGCCCTTGGCAGTGACGTCCTAGAGGACAGACAGTATGAGCTTGCTTTCTTGTCCGAGGCAGCTCCCCATCTTTGCTCCATGCTGCTAGTCCCTGAGGGTGACCCAGACGCCTTCGACATCCCGACCCCTCGCACTTACGCTGAGGCGACCTCGGAACCCTGGGCCTCTCAGTGGATAGTTGCCATGGAGCAGGAGATGGCATCTTGGAGATCCACCGGCACCTACGTCGATGCAGTTCCTCCACCTAGGGTGAACGTAGTCGACAGTCGTTGGCTCTTCGAGATGAAGTGCCCCCCTGGAGAGCCGCCTCTGTTCAAGGCGTGCTACGTGGCTAGAGGCTTCAGTCAGCGAGAGGGGGTGGACTTCTTTCAGACCTTCGCCCCGACCCTGAAGATGACTACTCTTCGGGCACTGCTACACGTAGCAGCACAGCGTGACAACGAGCTCCACTCCCTAGACATTTCCACTGCTGTTCTTCAGGGCAGCCTACACGAGCAGGTCTACCTGCGCCGACCACAGGGCTTCACCATTACCTTCCCTCCAAGGACCCAGTGGCTCCTCCGACGCCCGCTCTACGGCATGCGACAGGCGCCCTGTAAGTGGCACGACATGCTGCGTGCTACGCTAGCTGACCTGCAGTTCTTTCTGTCCTCTGCAGACCCTTCGCTCTTCGTTCGAGCTGGCCACACTCCGTTCTACATCGTTGTCTACGTAGACGACCTGGTCTTCACTACTGCACACAGAGATGCGCTAGCCTCTGTGAAGCCTGAGCTACTGAGGAGACACACTTGCACTGGCCTAGGAGAGCTGCGCCGCTACGTTGGTCTACAGATCTCCAGGAAAGAGTAGCGCGCACCATCCTTCTTACACAGTCACACTTGGTGCGCCAGGTCCTTTAGAGGTTCGGTCTTCAGTTCTCCTCCGCGCAACCCACACCTCTGCCAGTAGACCACAGGCTCTCGGCTCCAGTTTCTGAGGAGTCATTAGATCCCAGTGGTCCTTAAGCAGAGCTGGTGGGTTGCCTCATGTACCTGATGACTTGCACTCGTCCAGATCTCGCACACCCTCTCAGCATCTTGACTCACTTTGTGGCCACAAGCAGACACCGACCACAGCACTGGTCGGCTGCCAAGAGGGTTTTGCGTTATCTAGAGAGTACATCGGGCATTGGGCTAGTGCTAGGAGGATGCAGACTAGTGGTCCTTACTGGGCACACAGACGTTTCTTGGGCAGATGCGCTGCGACCCTCAGGTCCTCCCAAGGCTACTACTTTAGCCTTGGTTCGGGTGCCATCTCGTGGAGGTCCACTCGTTTCTCGTCTGTTGCCCATTCTAGCTATGAGGCTGAGATCTATGCTGGTGCCATGGTGGCACAGGAGTTCCGCTGGTTGACGTTCTTGCTCACCGACTTAGGTGAGCGGCTTAGCTTTGCCCGGGTCCTATATGCTGACAACAGGGCCATGATCCTGCTGTGTCAGGAGCCTCGACTTGAGGGCACAGCGAAGCACATCCAGCTGCGGTACTTCTCTTGCGTGAGCTATAGCAGCGCCGCCATGCCCGCGTCATACACTTGGCCTCCGGTGCCAACACAACTGATATCTTTACTAAGGTGCTTGCACCTAAAGATCATCGGCGGCACTGTTTGCATCTTGGTCTAGTTCCTGTAGACTCTCACTTGCTAGGACCTTGATTGTGTACTCCTCTTTATATATATCTTTCAGACTGGCCTCGTGGCTCCTCTTCTTGTGGCCGGAGTTGTCGTGCCACCCTTGTTTGCTCCTATCTTGTTTGTACTCTTGCTTACTGGTTCTCAGACCCCTGTCTCAGAGGTTGGACTAGTAGTGCCACCTTGAGCTGTGTGCTTCTTCTTCGGCACTACCCCTTATCTAGCCTAGGGGGTGTGTCAACTTATACATACATTTGCATGTAGAAGTTATAGTCTAGAATAGGTGTGTGTTCTTAGAGAGTACAACCCAAACCCTATATCTCCCTTGTTC